TAGTAATGGCGAGCATGTTGGCCGCACGTTCGCACGCAGACTCCAGCATTAGCGAGAGGCGATTGCGGCCTGTCTACGGTAAGAATTGTACTCGATGCCGGCATTTCAACTCAACTATTCGCACTCCAAGCGTGGCGTCGCGCATTCGCGGGGCTCACGAAATTTCGCTGTGCTGGAAAGACGAGAAACGTGCTTTCCCACTGCGCTCGCAACGCTGGCGTGATTCCGATTGATTCTTCGCACTGAACTTTAACTTATTGGCGTATTTGCAATCGCAAATCGCAACACGTTTCCTCGCATTACCAGCGTGGCGACGGTAGCAGTAGGTGGAGCGTCGTTTGTTCGCGCGTTTTGCCGCTTCTGTTTATAGTGTGCCGCCCTGGGGCGTACGGCGTTTCTTTTGACGCATCGTTTTTCATGCTTTCTATTTATCTCCAGATTACTTGGACAATGGGAACCACAAGAAAGCGTTGCAGGAAGCGGAGAAGCTGCTCAAAAAGCAAAAGGACTTCTCTTGCGCTAAGGTGAGAAGAAAAGCGGGCGCTCTTACTAGCTCGACCCGCCGCGTCTAGAACGGTGTGTGATCACGAGCGATTCGGGACACATCTTCGTTTGATTGAGCCGCTGCTTGTTTTGGTACGCGCGCGTGGGTTACAGAAAGAAGCGAGGTTATCGCGTTGCTGCAGATTGGGGGTGGCTGCTGGATGGCGAATTTCTTGGCTCGTTTCGGTTGTGCCCCAGGCTAGCGTATGAAGAAGTGTTCTTTGAGCGTGTTGTGTTGGTGCCTGCGAAATCGAGATTGCTGTCGCCTAAGTGTTTCGCGAAGAACACCTGAAACAGTTATCGTATACAATATGAACGGCCTTATTTCCTGCTAAGTTCAATGGCGATACAGCTCACGACGCTGTAATTTCGTTTAAGGGGGGATTGGCGGGAGTTATCCTCGCGAGGTTAACGTTGGGTAGTTGCCGTTCGAGTATAGTTTTGCTTTGTTACGAAGTCGCGAATTAAATTACGCTTCCCTACGTGTTGGCCGATCGCAGTGTTGCGAAAGCACCACTGCCGTCGCCCACGTGCGCCTGTTCGGCAACTACTAATGATTGTGATACTGCTTGATTGTTCGGTATTGAACTTTGGTTGACAGCTGGATCATAGCCAATATATTCCTCTTTTTCTTCTTTTTTATTGGACAGCAACTGGCATTTGTTATTGTCAGTATTTCAAGTAAAGGCAAAGGCATTGCTAATTAGCTAATGAAAGATTTTGTGTATGCCATTTAGTGTGGATGAAGCAACACGCAGTACTAAGTCTAAAAAAAACGTGTGAAAACAGGACGCTTGCTGCTTTACCCGCACAAAATGTTTATCAATCACAAACACTCCTAACTGACCTAATTAATGAAGATTTTGGTGATTCCTCAATTACTCTGGCCAGTAAAAGTAGCCTTTCGTTCAAGCAAATGTTTGAAACTCATCTAAAGATATGCCAACGGTATTCTGTCCTTGGCATTCGTTATTGCGTCGTTGCCAACTGCCTTGAATCCTTTTGAGTGGGACACATTTATCGAGGTTAACTGTTTAGACAGTTTCGTAGTTTGTAGCCACAGCTTACAGTGAAAAAAAAAATTGACAAATATTAGTAAGTTTAATTCGACCTGCTTTTTGTGGGCTGTAAGACGTTAACATAATCATACATTGCCTTTTATCCAATCAGTGCTGAACATTGTTCAAGTGCTGACAGGCTTCAAACATTAAAAGCAAATTTCATTTCTCCAAAACACAGGCCACTTGCATTGCAAAAGAGACATTGACGCTTGCACATTGGCTAGAGAAGCAAGTAATTAGAACTTCTATTTAGGCAGCCTTCAGTAACACAATCGCAGTGTGGCTTTTAACCAATGCGCTGGGCGTGTGGCCGTACTCTTAAAAGTTGCTCCTCGTGGCTCATGAGGACCGTTACTGCCTTCTGGGACACAAGTGGTGTCTCTCCCACCTCCTGTACTCCTCCGCATTTGGAGTGAGTATCAAAAGAGAATGGAAAAAAGTACTTCACATCAGTTTTTGGGGTGCTCCAAGAAAGTTCACGGTTTGTATAGCAGTTACAGAGTCAACAGCTACCTAAGAAAGTTCCTCTAGATGCTGCTATCCCTCTTGTGTGCAAATTGTTCCGATGTGTTGAAGACGTATGAAAGACGCCTCATATCAGTTATTTAACAGAGCAGTTATGCAGACACTGAGCCATTTGACATGTTCGGTTGGTAAATGAGTGCTCCTGCCAGAGTGGCTTGCGGCTTGTATTGTCTGCTTGCTGGGTTGTCACCAGGAGGAGAAGGTGTCACACAGGTTAAGATCTGAATACCACACTTCTTTTTGCATATAACTCTCTTCTCAACTAGTAAACGTAGAAAAGTAAAATTAAAAAATAATCTTTACTTGTTGCTGTGAAGCCAGCTTCCTTGAATTGTAACTGCAAAGGTGTGTAGTGAAGCTGTCTTGTACGCAGATATGCGTGCACACCTTAGCTTTGAATTTATTTACTTTATGTGGGTTACAAGTGAGAAAAATATGGGAAAACCAGGTGAACAGAGGGAAATGAGCAGGTGGCCTCGTGCATTCTTTCTTTGTTAGGATAAAATGTACAGGTGATATGGAAAGTAGTTAGCACAGCGACCTCCAGAGGTGAGAAGACCTGGACATGCCTCGTTTTGTTTTAGAACATGCTAAAATAAGAGGTGCAGGCATAGATTTTGTTTTTCCCCGATTTGGGTACAGTGAATACCATTTCCGAATTTTGCCCCTTGGGTAACCGTCCCTTGTGCTAATATCCTTGCTTTGTACCAACGGGCCCGACTTTGCAGTTTTGAAAAAACGTACTTGCAGGCAGTGGTCGTTCTGTTAATCTTTGGCCTCACTGCTGTTATTCATTGGTGCCTATAACAAAGCTGCCTATTGGAGTGTTTTTAAGCCCTTTAATTTAGCAGTTCTTTCAAAGATCAGATGTTGAAAAGGCATGGTTGAAAGCATTGGCATGAAAGAGTGGGTGCTACTCTGGTAACAGACAATGTTGAAGCAACTTTCTCAATGCGGCATAAAATGTTATGTTAGCATTTTGTGCTATTAGGGTATCTTTACCACTTATATAGACATAGGAACAGCATACCTGCCGACTGGCAAGAATTTGCTGTAAAATTTGCAGAATTGAGCTTTTTCCGAGATTTTAGAAATGTTCTGTTGAACTTTACCAAAAATAAACTTTATTTAAAAAGCTATTTCAAATGTTCGGAAATATGGGCATTGAAGTAATGTAGCACATGGGGCTAGTCGGAACATAATCATAGCGGTCAATACACACAATACTACTACTAATAATAATAATATTAATATTTTTATTAATAATAATAATAATAGCAATATTGGAGGTTTAATATCCCAAATGTCAGTTGTTACAAAGCACAAGAAAGTATACAACACAAACACAAGTACGTGACACTACACTCTAAAAAAATATCGAGTAAAAAGGGTGTCTTTTTGTCCCACAACAATAATCGTCATCAGGCTTGCGTGCGCTTCCTTTCTTGAAAACTCTGCGCTGGCCACTTTCCTATCGAGAATGCAATGTAACCCTGATAATGGGCATGTCAATTGTGACCGAAACATACCGGGCGCAGGGCAATAGCGCTAGGATGGAACGCAATATAGATGACGATTATTGTTGTGGGACAAAAATACACCCTTTTTACTCGCTCTTTTTTTAGAGTGTAGGGTACTAAAAGATTTCAAATTGATGCTATCGAAAAAGGAATCAGAAAAGTACAAGTATTGGCCAGCACAAAAAAAAAGCTTTATGTGAGCGATATGTCTTCTCCAAACAACTTTGTGCATAACAACTTCGTTAAGTAGACAGAAGAATGGCAGTGTATATTATCTGGTCGGTCTAAACTTAAAAGAGATGCATCTGAATATTCGCTACACAAACATCATGATTTTATTAAAACAACAAAAATCAAGTTAGGGATCTACCTCTTGTTTAAAAGGTTATATCATTTAAACAACAGTGGAGTCGGTTTTTCTGGAAACAGTAAAAAGCATGCTATAGTGAGAGGCGTAGGCATAACATAAAGGAAAACATATTTTTTTGTGTTGCAGGCCCTGAAAGCACTTGCCCTTGTGCGGTTGTCACGGTTGGATGAGGCCCTGTCTGTGCTCAAAGAGCTGCAGGCAGAGGCCCCCACCGACGACGCAACCTTGCAGGCCATGACCCTCTGCTACCGGGAGCTGGAGCGACGTGAGTAGTTATATGCTGAACATTTCTGGCTGGGGTACCCGTATTGGTTCTCGCAGGCTTTATTTATTTGTGGTCACATCGCAGTGTTTGAGCCTAAAGTGGCATTGAAGTGTACGAGTTAGCTGACCAATGTGAATGCTTAGCTTATGCTTAGCTTAGATTATGGTTTTGTTTGTGCAGACATCATTACAATGTTCAAAAGCCTAATAGTAGGTTCACAAGCTTCCGTCAGTGTCACTGATTTTTTTTTTTTTTTCTCATGTTAGTCAATATATTGCTGTTTACAGTCTGTTTTATTGCTTTAACAACACTTGGTATATTTCAGGCTGACCCATCTTAATGAGCACTCCATTTCATTGTGCGCAGTGTTTGCCATTGGTATCGTTGGTTTTTGAAAGCATGTCCTTTGTATTGCATATGCATGATATAATGAATCTCTTCAACATAGTTGTGGTGGCCTGTCATTGCTGGAGTACTGTTCGATTTGGTGCTTGTAAAATGGCGATTTCCATGTAGTGTGAGTCACTGTTTAATTAAGTAGGTCGCTTGTAGAGTGAGCTGGAACAATGGTACACTACTACGGAAATGGGGGAAAATAATCAAGAGGCAAAAAAATAAAACAGTGACACAATGAGGTGGCTACTGTAATAACCGGTAACAAGTTGTTAGTAACTACCTCTGCGTCACTGTGTATTTTTTTTTCCCCTATTTTTCAAGCATAGCGACTTGATGTAAGGGATTCGTCCAAAGTGACTGCTCAGCATCGGCATTATTATATTAACAGGTTTCTCCGGACTTCTAGCAGATTCTTGGTTTGGTGCTAGTTGGTGTCGGTTCATAACTGAAAGAGCTTTCGGGCACAAGCTGAATGAGGACTAAGAACACTCAAAGGAACATTATCCTGTGCGTCCTGTTGTTTTGTGTCTTCCTCATCATTCTATTTGCATTGGAAAGCTTTTCCAGATGTCTAGGCTGTGTTTGTTAGTGACAAGGCAACAAGCTTTTGCCCAACATGTCAGGCGGGGCTCGCTCACAAGCAGCATAGCATATGCACGTCATTCTCCTTTCCCTGCACATGTCTCTGCCTTTGCATTGCACCCAATACAACTAGTGGCTTTACGTATGTCCATGTGAAGCGGCATTTTAAAGACGATAGTCTTTCTTCGGAACCTTCGACGCAAAAATTTGGTCGGTCTGTCTGTCTGTACATTTGTCTGTTTGTCTACTCTTAACATCATCGGGTATTTGAAATGGTCGACCCCATCCGCAGCGCCCACCTATGTTGCTCAAGGTTCAGCATTGATACTTGTGCAATTGTCGATTAAAAAGCAATTATGGCGCGTGTCTGGGGCACCATAACAACACGTATATATTCTGCATGTGCACTTTTTACTAGAAAAGGCATACACAAGTAATCTTAAGGACCGTAGCGCTTATCACGCTGCGCTGACCATTCAACGCTTGCTTGGAAATGCGAGTGTTTCCAACGCTTTGCTAAAACGAGATGGTGGTGGCACCTACCCGTGGCGCTCATGTCTCACGTGTGACGTACTAAGTATTACGGCGGGTGAAGTATTATGGCTTGGTGGCGTTAGCCACCGCCCGATGTAAAGGGTACAGCCATATCAATCCATCCATCCATGGCGTGACTTGATGCGCTCGTTCGTCTCCGCTGCATGCTCGAGGCACTCTAACGCCGCGTCTCCAGAATACTATTCACCGATTTTCTTGAGCAGAACATCAAATAAATGTTTTGTTCACCCTCTCCACACGCAAGACTATCGTTCGACGACATTTGCAGATTAAATACAGATACGGGGCCAATTTTTTGCCAGATCATTTGCTCTATTTCGTCTTACTTTGCTCCACAGAGCTGTATCAACTCGGGTCCCAACTTTCTGAACCTATTAATTTAATTGTTTGTGTGCAATTTACATAATCCTCAAAGTAATGTTCTCTGTTTTCGAATGTGAACGTAGAAAATTTACTTCACTAAAATCGTAGTTTTGCTGTGATATTTACTTGCACTATCTGAGTTCGGGCAACCTATTTCATTTCTTAGGCTCACGGGACGCCATTACAGTCGTTGAACTCAACCTGCCACAGTACTCTAGTGGTTATGTTGTTTGACTGCTGGCCTGCAGGCCGCAGGAGTGAATGCCAAACGGGGCTGCCGCATTTTTGATAGGAGCTAACATGCTCAAGGCCCATGTACTTGGGTTTAGGTGCATGTTCTAAAACCCCAAGTGGTCGTAATTTCTCGAGTTATATACTATGGCGTCTCTCATAATCATATTGTGCTTTTCGGGCATTAATTATTAATTAGTTTTAAAACTCGTCCTTTACTGTGCTGATTTTCAGTAACCACAATGAAAATGCATTCTTAAAATCGTCAGTGTTACTCAAATGTGTTCATTTTGTACGCATTCTTTTGTGAATTTGTCATTGCATGGTGCAATGAGCGGTGCAGGCAAAAAGCAAGTATGTTTTAGTGTTAGCAGTTTTATGTCAGTTATAATTGCATGGGTGGGTTGCCTGCGCATGAGCATCAAGTTACTGCTCGAAACTATGGTTGTCTTGTTCTGATCCAAAGTACTGCTAGACATTTTGATCACTACCTTAGATGGTAAGGTTACAGTGTTTGACGGTTGGTCCTGAATTTGAATCTGACACATGAATGAGTATTTTGTCAATTTGAAAGCTTTATTTGCCAGATATCCATCTGGATTTCCTTGGTAGCTTCATTCTACAAACAAACAGGTAATTGAGATGTTCTTCTTTTCCTTAACCTAGCTTCACTTTGCTGGCCAAATGATCGATTGCATGATTGGCTGGAAGACTGATTTTTGCAAGCTGATTGACCATTCAGCAGAACAAATGGTACTTTCATCATAAGCATACACAGACCACTGTGAATATCGTTTTCGTTCACTAAGATGCTGAAATTCTACTGGGCTCCATTAGTACTTGCCAGGCATAGCTTCTTTAACACCCTCTGTCTTGGAGGTCTTGTGGTAAGGGTGTTGCACTGCTGCTTTGAAGGTCGGGGCATTTAATTACAGCCACGGTGGAAGGCTTCGGGCATTTCCATTAAGGTAAAATTCTAGAAGCCCGCGTACTTGAATGTAAGTGGACGTTTAAAAACACATTAGTTGGTCGAAATTTCTGAAGCCCTGCACTTCTGTACCTCCTGTAGTCATATTATGGTTTTCGCAAATAAAACCCGAACGATTATCGACTTCTTTCATGTGTATTTTTGTTGGCGCATGCTCGTAGCCGACCTGGTGGTGGAGGCATACGAGCGTGCCACCCAGAAAGAGCCACAGAATGAGGAACTCTTGTCACACCTGTTCATGGGCTACGTGCGAGTGGGGCGGCCTCGCGATCAGAGGCGAACCGCGCTGGCACTGCACCGGCTGCGTCACAAGAACCCGTACTACTTCTGGGCTGTCATGAGCCTCGTACTGGAGGCTGACCAACCCTCAACCTCTCTGGCCGAGCGCAGCACGCTGCTGCTTCTCGCACAGCGTATGGTTGACAAGTTCGTCAAGGAAAGGCGCATCGAGGCTGAGGCTGGTACGTTTGACCCCACCCTCTGCCTGCACACGTCAAGATTGTGTGTTGACAAGGATAAAAACAAGTACTAGACATGAATGAGTACTGACTGGCATGTATTTACACTCAAAATGTATTATAACAAGCTTGCATTTTAGAAGAAAATAAGTTCATTATATCTAAAAATTTGTTATGAAGGATATTCCTAACACTTTTCCCATTGCAAGGCTATTCTTCATTTACTTCGTTACAGCCGATATTTCTTTATATTCATGTTCGCTATATCAAGGTCTGAGTATATCTCCACGTGCATGTCCTTTTATATTTTTGTGTAGCCAGTCTTTTACTGTATTGCGCAAACCGCACCGAAATGCCGGACACCTCTGGTAATATTTTAAAAAAGCACTGACATCAAATTTCAAGATCCAGACGTGCCCATCATTCGATCGCTTAATATGCATAGGTCTTCTTGGCCAAATTTGAACGGCATCCGTCGCGTGGAAGTTCCTTTAATTCGATGCCAAACAGCGTAGAAAAGCCAAGGAGAAAAAACGAAAATAGACTGCCCTGCAACATCGACACTAGTGCTACGTGTTCAGTGTGATACATTCTACAAATACCATCCTGAGTGACGATGCCCTAGTAGCGATGCCGTGTACGATCCGAGTGTTCTTATCTTGACGCCGAAGTGCAGAAACGCACTCACTCATCCACGGCTGGGCTAGGGCGTGCAGGTGCAGTCTAGCCCGGCCATGGCTCGTCGCATCTGATCTTCATCGCACCAGTTTGAATGATTTCGTGAAATTACCAAGATAAAAACCACCTTTAAAAGAATGGCGAAAGAAAAGAGCATGATTAAACGTGCGCTTGACGGTCAGTGTGTCCGGGAATCGTGAGTTGCAGGGGTCTAGTTCGAAGCCCGGAAAAAGAACAATGAGAGCAATGTTACACATCAACACGACCACAAGCTATCAAAAGTGGAAGAGCGAGTAGTCAGATATCATCCCTAACAAGTGACAAGCAAGTATCGTTGAATTTTAGTTCATCTGTAGACTTTGCCTCCCCGTAAATGTGGTAATACCGTGCGAACCGCGAGAGGCTGGATAGGTGGGGCCATCAGGAGGTGCAAAAAAGAACCTGACAAGCAGGAAACGTACTCTATTTCTCCGCTGATGCTCATTCGCGATAGCTATAGTGCATTGACCCCTTTGCGTATACCTGAATGCTTTGCCCGCCAAAACACACCGAAAGAGCAAACTGAGACACACGAGCGAACATGGCTGAAGCGTGCTTCCTCGGGCACCTCTGCAGTGCTGCTTGGAACGGCGTCCATTTTGAAATCACTGTTCTGCAAAAGGTCGGTCGAAGCAAAAACAATTGGCGACGTTGCGAATCGCAGGGATTCCAAGCCCTAGACTATCGTATTGAACCCGAGTCGACACTTTGTACGGCGACGACAGCAATGCAAGTGACTAGGCATGACTGAATGTGTCCGCCTAGCAGACGAAATGTTTGTGGAGCAGCTGAGCCTGACGTCACTCTTTTCTGTTGAGAAGTGGTTAGCTGTGGTGTGATCTGGAGGTGACCGCGAGGTAGTACCATTGCTGGTGCTCTCAGCGCTAAATGTGGCGGGATTGCCGGTTGTTTTTTAATAGTACTAGATCCCAGCAATATAAATCAACAAAAGAGATAGTTATTCATCGCTCAGTTGCGTTTTAGGTCGCGAATCGTTGCTACGGGGCCTATAGCTACTTGCTGCCGCAAAAATCTTGGCATGAGTAAATTTGATGTCAGTGCTCCTTTAAAACATTGGATAAAACTGTGCGCTGCAAGTGAACAGCAGTTTATTCTGGAATCAAACAGGCCACCAACAATAACGCTGGAATTTTCTAAAAATAACAGCATTTATTCAGGAACTAACTGGGCCACAAATTATAACGCCGGAGTTTTCTAGGCCACAGATGTAAAAGATTGATGCACTTTACTGCTAATCAGATTACCTCCGTTTCATCATCCCTGTCGCTGTACAACTTGTATTTTGAATTTTTATTCCCTGGCCTCAAGTTCACTGAAATTGGAGTTTTGTCTTTGTTAGCCCGAGTGGTGCTTTGCTTGCCGTCACATCTGCGCGAGAACAAGTTCAGGGGTATGCGCTTATCATTAAGTTCACACATCAGTGCACATTAACTCATTTGTGTTGCTTTACTTTTTTCGTTTGATTTTTGAATCATTGCTGTAAATGTTGGTTCCCATGTCGGCCGATTACAGCAGCAGACGTGTTTTGAAACCATCTTGTTTGTAAGCTGTGAAGAAGTATTTCTTTTTACTCTTAAGCATGGCAGGATGACATGAAATGTTCCACGTCAACAGTTTCTTTACCCTCTGTGCAGCACAAAGAGATGGCTTAAACATTATCAGCCTACAACACCCCATGCTTGTGAGCATGCTGATTCTGTTTTAGTATCATGTCCGTTTCATTATGCTGTGCCATCTGTCACTGCGCCACAATGTATCATTTGACTCCATAATTAGGCCTGCTTGTAATGACCCCAGTTAAAAAAAACACTCTTACAAGGGCACGATTTGAAGTGGCTACGTTGATAGACGCATAATGGCTCCGTTAACCCATGGGCGCCCTCAGTCTCGAGGTGCTTGGTCACACTCGAAGACAGAAGCGTTGCGAATAGGTGTGGCGGGTGAAAAGGCCCACAGCTTGAACGAGAAGCAGTCAATCCTACATTCATTAGTCAAAAAGTCCGTGTCATCGGAAGGGGGACACGTATTTCACCAGGCTTTGAAAAGGAGGCTACTGGAGAAGGGAGAGAGAGAGAAAAGAAACTTTATTCAAGTGTCCCTGCTGGGGTCAAAGGCGGTGGGGGGCCAGGAGACGGGCCCCTCTGTAACCCCCTTCTTCAGGCGGCCAGGCCTTGAATCCTGGCAGCGTCTTCGGACAGCCCAGAGCTGGTTTTCCGGGCACGTGCTGAGCAGCAAAGCCTTCCATTGCTCGACCGTGGTAATAGTGAATGTAGGGTTCGCGCTGTGTTTAACTGAGTGAGTAGCTGCGGGGCAGGCCCATATAATATGGTCGAGCTCGGTGTTAGCTGCACCGCACGCTTTGCATTGGGGTGTGTGAACAGCGGGGTAAATACGGCTGTACAGTGACGGACAGGGGAAAGCGTGTCTGTAAAAGAGGGACGAGGCCTCGGATGTAGACTCTCAGCAGGAGTGGGGGAATCGCTTTATCCGTGTAACTTTCCCATCACTGCACGCATTAACATTGCACAAGTCGAGATGCGGCCACTCTACGGCCACTGGGATGCCCGTGTGTCTTGTTCCAGGCAGGCGCGTACTCTAGAACTGACCTGTGCCATCATGAGTGTTGGTGATAGACACATGTTACGTCTAAATCTGGTGCATTTCATCAGCTGCATGATTAGGCCCGCTGTAGAGCTCAAGCTTCTCTGTTATTGTTTTTTTTTAACAATTAGTTAGCTCTGCTTGCTGCAGCCACATTACTCCTGCAAACTTCAAAACTTAATTTGCCAATCTAACTCTCTGTCTTCCTCCTGCGCACTTGCCTTCAATTGGAATCCCACCGGTTACTCTTACTTACTGACTACTTTTCTTGGCCTTGCTCGTCTTTTCTTGATTTCCTCTAAGCATATATTCTCTAACCCACTCTGCTCTCTTTTTCAGCTGTAGTTTTGTTTTTCTGTGGCTCACTGCATTGTAGCCTGTTTCCTGTTGGCCTTACCAGGACAGAGCGAATGCCCATTCACATACTGTGCCTTGCTGCAGTTACCATGTTGCGGGGTGCATAGCAGCTTGTATTGAGCGCAAGCTTGATTGACGGATAGGCAGCACATTTTGAAAGCATAGCTCAGCCCCAACCTATGTTTGCCAAGGAATCTAATCTCCCTAGCCAGGAATGAGCGTGCACTGGCCTGCATTTCTTGTTGATGCAAGCAGCTGTTTCTGAATGCCCATAGACACCAATTTCTCGTGATCATCTGGTGTGTGTGTGCGGTGTTGGCTTTACTTTATCTCTGTTGATGAACGCTGAGTGCTTTATGCGTCTTTGCAGAAGTGCAGCTCTACCTGATGGTCCTAGAAATGCAAGAAAAGTACCAGGAGGCTTTGGACGTCCTTGATGGGCCACTGGGAGGTAAGGAGCCACGCTGCCACTACAGTGGTGTAGCAGTGCTATTTTTCTTAATATGTATATTGACTCCAATATTGACATCTATTTGTGTAGAAGAACTGAAAGCTAGGCTAGTTCGTGACCATACTTGAGTTTTTGACACAGTGCAACAACGATGCAGACGAACAGAAAGGAAGGACACACCACAGCGCTAACTCGCAAGTGAATGTTTATTGAAAGAATGTGAAAGAGAAAGAAAAAGGCGGAAACTACCAAACCCTGTTTTTTTTTTTTTGCTTTAATGAGGTCACATTGGTGTGAGAGGTGCCTCGCCGCGGTGGTCTAGTGGCTAAGGTACTCAGCTCCTGACCCTGCAGGTGGTGGGATCAAATATCGGCTGCAGTGGCTGTATTTTCGGTGGAGGCAAAAATGCTGTAGGCCCGTGTGCTCAGATTTGGGTGCATGTTTAGGAAACCCACGAGGCCGAAATTATTGTGGTCCTTGTCTCTCATAATCATATGGTGGTTTTGGGACGTTACACCCCACATACTAATCAAGCGAGCACCAGTGATTCATATCAGCTTATTGCTTCTGGTGTTGCTAATACTCACGTTCCTGTTGGCATCGTTGCACAAGTGCAAAAAACTAATATACAGTCGATCTCGGATATATCAAACGGATATATCGAATTATTGGCTATATTGAACAGTTGAAAAATCCCCTTGAATTTCCAATGCAAAAGTATAGAACCGGTGCACCCGTATATCGAACTCCCGCACAGCAAGACATCCACTATATTGAACGCTGTGCCACGCCAAAGCCCAGAAAATGCTTCTTTCTAGCTAGTATTGATCAATGTTAGGCCGCATTTTAACAAGTTTCAATCTTTTTTCTAGCGCTGGCAACAAAAATCGTGTTATTGCATTACGCTGATCTTCTTCGTTGTGCTACACTTGAGAGTACATCTGTATGTGCGGCACTTGAGAGTACATCTGTGCACGTGATCTGCAGGCCTTAGCATGAGGGCATAGTGTTTTCTAAAAGACCGATTGCCGAGGGCACCTAAATGAGAAGGCCAAGTCACTCAGCAATCTCATTGAAATGTTCTCATTCCCTTTCTTATTTGTTAGCGCACAGTGACGTGCAAGCATAAAAGCGTGGCCTTTGAGATGTACAGCCTTGTGACGTGTTTTTAGTGTTTTCGTTTTAAAAACGCGTGTCTCGGAGGCTACGCTTTTTTTTTATCTTTTTGCATTAAAGCCGCTGAAGGCAGCAGCGGCCAGCTAGAAAGCCACAGTGACATCGATATCGCCAACATGTCGATGGTGGGAACCTGGACGAACTCGGCATTGTCTTTTGCGCCTTCTGGTCTTGTGTACTTTTCCCCTGGTTCCTGATAAATCCTCATTCTGGAGTTGAACTGAGCACTGACCCGCACGTAGTGATGAAAAATGTGATTGGCGCTTGGAAAAACGTCAAGTAAAACACTGTCGTAAACGTTCCTTGTGGGCTAGGGGGCAACTTCGAGTGCGTCATGATCGCTGACAACGGCGTACGGTGCCTCAGTTAATTCTGCGACTTATCAGCATTTCGCGGCACCATATTGGACAGTGAGTGACTTCATCGGTAAAAGTGACGGCTTAGCTGTTTCTGACTGCATCGATACTGAAATTTTGGCTGCCGTTGCTGCGGAAGTGTAGCCGTGCAATTGTGAATGTGCCAACGCCTTTGCTGCCGCCGCTCACCAATCTTTTGCCACGCTACAAAACTTGCATCGGCATTCTGCATCAATCATCGTTGGGGCCGAAGGAGCTAAGTTCACTTATTTTCTTCGTGTCCTTCTTGTCTCTGTGTCGTCGTTCTGTTTTCGCGCTGTAACTATCATCATCATCTCAATGATATTGTGGTGACTGGAACTTGATGGCGTGCAAGCAGCAAAACAAGTTTACAGACTACTGTGAACTCCCTTAAGGGGGGACGCGGCACTTCGGGACCGAAAATCAGCCAAAAAATCGAGTTTTCGCGGACCTTCTTTTCGCGTTCCCGACATCATTGCGCACCTATTTACAAAATTTCATAGCCGAATACCATCAACTTTTATCGTTATTCAACTTTAAAAAACCGAAAACGGGCGTCCTGCCCTTTAAATTGAGGGCGAATAGCGCAGGTTTCGGCTCTACGATACGCGGGAACTACGCGCTCGATCGGCGCCATTTTGGTCTTGTTTGAAAGAACGCGTTTTCAGCTGTTTTTTTTATTCAGTAAGCAACATTGAGCGTTTCCCCGGCTCGAAAAACGGGGCCTCAAAGACGAAGAGCCGCGCTCACTGCCATTGGCTAAACGGCGCACGTGACTGAAATGGCGCTTTCCGGTTGGCTGGAAGCTCGCGGCTTGCGCCTGCATACGCGACCTGACGCCATTTTGAAAGGGTTACCGCTGTGACGCCTCGAAATCGGCAGAGCACTCTGAAGCTTCTGATCGTATCGCCATGCCTGGAAACGCAAAAAAGTATCGGACCGTGCACGCATTTGGTCGCAGGAAACGCAAAGGTCGTGGGAGAAAGTCTACGAAGTCATCAGAGCCCTTGGTTGACTCCGACGAACGATGTGTCGATGCTCCGCGGCCGTTCAGCGATGGTGCGACCGAGCGCGTTGCCTCCGACGACGATGACGGTGAAGCGAACTCCGGACGACTACGAATCGACGCCAAGGTGGTGACAAACGCCGAAGTTGAAGAAAATCATGCCCGGGAGAAAGCGACGCTCGACCGGCTTTCATCGGCGCCAGCAACTGCACGGAAAATTGACTTTTTCACCGCGAGTTGTAGCGAGGCAACCGCACAGGACTCGGACCACGCTGCTCCTTATCTGCTTATGCATCTAGATATCCTAAACGCGATAATAGGTGCCTTGTGTTGCAAAGCCTGCCACGGACCGGCTACGATCGTCAGAGGGGATCGGGACTACGGAATTGCCGTGAAAGTGCTAGTGCAGTGTGAAAGGTGCGGCGAGATCGCGAATGAATGGACTTCGCCCCGCGCGAACGGCACGAAAACGTGCAATCCGTTTGAAGTAAATCTTCTCGCTTCGAGGGCGATGGTGGCTACCGGCAACGGCCAAACGAAAATGAACGATATTTTCGCAACAATGGGCATCTCACACCGCGGTATGCACCACAAGACGTTTCAGCGGCATTTGAAGAACACGCTGGCACCCGCTGCAACGCGAGCGGCTGAGTCCGCTATGAGCGAATGTGCGGAAAAGGTTAGAACAATTTATGATGACTTGTGCTTCGGCCACCGGGGCAATATTGCCGTTAGCTACGACGGCACGTGGAAGACGCGAGGCCATTCTTCCCACATCGGCGTGGGCACAGTTATCGAATTATTTAGTGGCTACGTGTTGGACTACGTCGTTCTTTCCAACTTTTGCCTAGGCTGCGAGGTGGGCCCAAAGCCTAGTAGTGAGGGCTATCAAGAATGGAAGGCTAACCACAAATGCCAAAAAAATACGAACAGCAAAGCGGGGCAAATGGAAGTGGAGGCGGCTCTAATTCTATTTCAGAGGTCGCTTGAACGCCATGGCCTGCGCTACACAACTATGCTGTCTGATGGAGACTCTAGGACATTTTGCGCCATACAAGACGCCAAGGTGTATGGTTACATTGACGTGCAGAAGGAAGACTGTATTAATCATGTACAGAAACGGATGGGCACCGCATTGAGAAACCTGGTGCAGAAACAAAAGTGCGATGGGAAAAGAGGCCTTGGTGGGAAAGGCAGGCTCACAGGTGAGCTGATCACCAGGCTGAGCACATATTATGGCCGGGCTCTGAAATCGCATGAAGGTGACGTGGGCGAGATGCAAAAGGCTGTGATGGCCACATACCGCCACGTCACCTCCACTGATGAATGCTCGGACCACAGTCTGTGCCCAGCTGGTGAAACTTCATGGTGTCGGCACAATGCCGCAAAAGCAAAGGGTGAGCCCGACCCCAGGCATGCCTACAATCTACCGAAAGACGTGGCAGAGGCATTACTACCGGTTTATACCCGGCTTTCGGAAAGAGCCCTGCTTCAGAGGTGCGAACGCGGCAAAACGCAGAACTCCAACGAGAGCCTACATTCGGTAATCTGGAGTTTGGCCCCCAAGGAGCACCATGCGTCCCTGTTCGCTGTTGAAGCAGCTGTTGCAGAAGCAGTGCTGCGCTTCAACACGGGCAATTTGAATTCTGCAACGGCAATCTTAGGTGAAATGGACATGAATGCGACAAGTACTGGTGCCAGGAGAGCGAGAGAAAAAGACCACCGTCGCAGCATTGTCTCCAACAAGAAAAGAACAGCCTCATTGGAACTCCGGAAGCTAGTGAAGAGGAGGCATGAGCACAGAATGCATTCAGACTATGCTTCTGGTGCGTTTTGAGGTTGTCTTGTTGCATCTTCTGCAATAAAAATGTGTGCCCACGTTTTTTCTCGATTTCTCAAAACGACAATTTTCATGTGCTTCCCATTATGCCGGAGCAATATCTCTTGTTCTATCTGGGTTATCATTACGATTTCTTTTTTGTTTCGAAGATAAATGCAGGGGATGTGTCATAAAGTAAGTTTTATTGTAATAATTTTTGGAGAAAATTCTCTAAATGGATCTTTTGTTTCAAGTGTAGATGGGGAAATTTTTCATGTCATATTCAACATCCCACAACTTTGCTTCGAAATAGCCCAGAACAATGATTTATACTTTATTGCACACTGTGAACATACCGAATTGGTTCTATAGGTTGCACATCAATATCCAAGTTACAGTTAATTAGCTAATTAGGCCTTAATTGAAAAAGTCGCAGTTCATTATATCTTTAAAACTAATTGTCACAGCAAAAAAAGAATTAGATTTTTGAAATCAGCAGTAAAATCTAAATAGGCTCTCCAAATTTGACTGAGGTACTCGCAAAAATAAAAGAGTTTTTGGAAGGTGCAGCATCCCCCCTTAAGACAAACTCGAAGGGACCATGAAGAATTGTTCATCTTATCAGATGTTCGTCTTATCAGAAGCACCCCCGAAAAAGAAAACGCGGCGCAGAGAAAGAACTCGTTTCCTCGGCGATGGCGGCGGCAGCGGCGGCGAGGTCGGAGAGGGGGAACATCCACGTGGAGAAGGCTGTGGATGTACAACGCGAGCTCACATGTTCCCGCTGAGGAATGGCATTGGTCATGAGAGCTGCTCTCTTCGCGAATAGGGAGTCCCGGTCGTCATTTCGTTTTCTTACTTTTTCCCCTGCTTGCTTCTTTGCGGCCGATAGCCGATCTCAAAACTCTTTCGCTCTCTTGTTTTCTTCTTGTTTGCTTTGCCGCTCGCTCTGCGGGTCGAAGTGCGGGTGAGGCCGCGGGCCATTCTTTTGTCGCTGCCTCCCTCCCTCCGCCATGGCGCGAATTCGCTTCGCGCCGTTGCTGCTGTTGTATTTTCTTTGCCTTCGGCCGCGGGAATGCCCCCCCAAGATTGCCATAATTCCTTTGTAGAATCGCCTCAGTCTCCCGGTCTCCGTGAAAGTGTTTGTCTTAACAGAAGAGCAGGTGCAAGGCTGTTCGTCTTAAGCGGATTTTTTTGCTTTCGGTCTATGGAAAACCAAACAAATGTTCTCACCTTGTTCGGCATAAGCGAGAATTCGTCTTAAACAAGTTCGTCTTAACGGGAGTTCACTGTATTTTAATACGAAATAAAGTGAGGTATCTTGCAGCTCGCACCTTGTTTTTTGTATTACTATAAGCAAATCGTTATGTTAGCTTGTTAAACGATTTGTGAAGCCTGAAATGCTTCAATTTAGGCCTTTAATACGCATATTTTGTATTTAGAGTTCTATATATATGGAACTATTTTGCCATTCCCTTCAAGTTCAGTATATCTGAGAATGACTGTATAAACATCTGCGACTCTTCAACTTAGTGCATGCAACCCAACATATCAAATCAGTTATGGTGTGAAGGGTGTAGTATTATTTTACTTTCTCTTTCATATGTTTTTAATAGAAATTCAATTGGGAGTCAGCGCTGTGGTGAGTCCTTCTTTTCTTTTCTTTTCTTGTCATCGTTGTGCTGTGTCAGAAAATGTTCAAATCTATTCATTTACTTTCTTGAACAAAAGAGCATATGTGGTTATTAACCCGGCAGGATACCCAGGACATGCCCAGAATTTAGCTCATGAGGGCATTGCAGTTTGTTTCATTAGAAGAGACTATAAAATCATGAAAGTCCGCATGGGATATGATTTGTTTTTTTATTATTTGAATTTTACCATGTGAAACCTAATTAGTGGCGGAGAGCACCACCCAGGCAGTGCTTTTTTTTTTTAAATGACACGGAAAAGTTATACCCCTGTCACACGTGGCAATTTATGTGCATTTTGAGCGAGTACACTTCGCCGCGAGTGTCATTTGTGCACTGTCATGCGAGAAGTTCAGTGTCACTCGCTGCAAAGTAAACTCACCGGCAAGTGGGTTCACCAACCTCACTTTGCTGTGACAGCTGAGACGACGTGTGTAGCCTCGCTACCAGTGGATTGTACATAAACACGCTGTTGCCTAAAGCGGCACTCATACTATTCTTACACCATTGTTTTTGTTATGAGGAATAGTGCTATGCTATGTAATAAATATGCTATGTATTAAAACAAGTCATAAAGTGCAACAAAAAACCTTGCTATTTTCACGGTCTGGCAGTTTGTGGCCACGTCTGCTAGGGGGATGCGGCAGCACATGCTGCTCAATGGCTGCATCCGTCGCATTGTTCCATGCTAACTTGCCCATGTGTAGGTGAGTTGCTTTATAATCATTTAAGGTGGCGTGTGCCACAGGTGCTACTTCCACGAACACAACGTGGTCTGATGATAAGACACTGGCACAAAAGTAACATACCTATACGTTGTGCTACAAATCCGTCGATTGTTACTGCCACCATTTCCAAAGTACACTTCCCTTTCTCGTGTAGCAGCAAACTGCCTAAATGACAATTTGTTAGTGTAAGTACACTCGCTCAAAGGGGGACGCTCCCTGGATTTCGTGCCGACCGGTTGTGCGCCCGCGCGCTCCGCGCGCTCGCGACCTTCGGCGTCATCGTAGCGCTGGCCGACTGGGCTCGTCCTACGTCATCTCCTGTCGCCGACGACCTTCGACGACAGCGCAGCTCTGATTTACTGGTCCTGCTCTACGCCATCTACAGACGCCGACACCATCTCTCGCAAGTGTACCCCGTCCTCGGACTCCAGTGACCGTTTTTCCATCTTTCCTGTCTCTTCTATCCCCTCAGTTTGTTGTTGCTTCTTCTTCCTCTTTCCTATACTTTTACCTCTACCCTTTTATCCCTCCTTACCCCCATCCCTTTGTGAGCTCTGTGGCGGTGTCGCTCACTGAAGCAGACAATAACGGGGCTCACTTTTCTCTTCCTTTCTCTCAAGAACCACTCCGCACACTCGCTCAAAGTGCACTTGAGCTGCCACGTGTGACAGGGGTATTAACTTGTTTCAAACTGCCCCGCCGCGGTGGTCTAGTGGCTAAGGTACTCGGCTGCTGACCCGCAGGTCGCGGGTTCGAATCCCGGCTGCGGTGGCTGCATTTCCGATGGAGGCGGAAATGTTGTAGGCCCGTGTGCTCAGATTTGGGTGCACGTTAAAGAACCCCAGGTGGTCGAAATTTCCGGAGCCCTCCACTACGGCATCTCTCATAATCATATGGTGGTTTTGGGACGTTAAACCCCACATATCAATCAACTTGTTTCAAACTTATGATTTTTTTTAGTTGAGAAGGCTCTCAAAAAGGCTTCCGCAGACCCCTCCTCGGGGTTCTGCGAACCACCGATAAATTTTCCCTAATTCTGCACTCGCCCAATCAACTCACTTAGATGGTGATCCCGAGAGTTGATCAATCCAGGGAACCTCCATTATTTATGCCTGAGAATTCATGAGCACATCTCAGTGCTTTTATTGTATTGAAAATAAAAATCAAGGTAGCTCGCCGGGGGAGAGGTGAAGAGAGGGTTCCATGGAACCAACATGCTTGAGAACCCCGGCTTTGAGTAAAATTACTAGTACCTATTTTCTTTGATGATATCGCATTACCTTTCTTGTATTGTTTTCTCATTCGCCTCACTGGAATGTTGCACCTTGTGTTACAATGCAGAGTGGAGGGAGGTGTTGTGCAGTGCCTGCCACAACACTCACATTTGATGGTATCATTTTGCCTGCCTTTTGCTCACTTGCAGACAGCCTAACTTCTTACCTGGACTTTGTGTACGAACACAAGGTGGAGCTTCTGGGCAAGCTGGGCCGCTGGCCGGAAGCCAACGCTGTCAGTAAGACACTGCTGCTTGGCAAGTAAGTCGGCCCTCTCGTTGTGCGTGCAAAGGGCAGCCGTTTTTTTTTTTTTTTTTTTTTTTTTTTTTGTCTCACTTGGAGGTTGCGGATTGGCCTTCTATTGGCTGTGGTGCTTAGAAAGCTTTACGGTAAAATTGTCAAAATGTTTAGAGGATCTGGTACTTACGGAACACCTCTTTTTCAAAGCAGAGTACAGTAAAGTACTCTATACCATATTTACTCGCGCAATCCTCGCACTCTCACATCGCCCAAGAAAACTATGATTTTTTTTTTTCCTCGAGTAATTATTGCACCCCCGAAAACTGCCGCAATAATGTCGTCTGCTCGTTCCAGCCACTGATGATGATAGCGCATGCCATCTGGCGCCATCTCTTAAGCATCAAGCGTACTATTGCACAGAGATTCGATTCAATCCAAGCAAAGCCGAAGTGGCCAGTGTGCGTTGCGACTTGTTTATTATGTTGTGTCGGTAATCTTGGCGCGTTATGGGGCGATACTGAAGCCATATGGCTGCTTGAAGTTGCAAGTGATAGATCATGCGCTAAACAACGGCAACAGGGCTGCCGGTAGGCCCTTCGGAGTCGACGAGTTTTGTGTTCGCTACAGGTGACGGCAGCTGAAAGCCACCAAGACGCGTTGGGCCTGTCGTGTGCCTAAAACTGGGATTGATGGTAAACTTAATTTCTTCAGAAGGAATCTGCGGACGATTCTGTTAAATAGCCATCAGCCCAATACTGACGTCCTACGCTTACCTTTTGAGGGCTCCTGTTGAGCGCCGACCGCTACCGCAACGCCCACAAGCTTCGCGTACTGATTCTCGACTATTTGCTACCACTTTTTGCGTCTCAAATAAATCTTGCCTTGTGTTGAACCTCTGCTTTTATTGTTGAGGTAAGTTATAATTAGTACTTCTTAAAGCTTGCTGTAAGTTGCTGGTGTGAGAATCCCGATTTGCAGCCACTTCATTTTTTTTTTCGCTCTCTGCGTTTTCGTGGAAAGTTTTCCCCGCGTAATTCCCGCACCCCCTAATTTTGCATCGGTTTTCTGTCAAAAAATTGCGAGGATTATGCGAGTAAATACGGTACTAGCGGACAACCTTACTTGGCAATGAAGGGAAGGCTACAGAGCCAAAGAGGGCGTGTGCCATTACTGAAGAATATAGTCCCTCAATGGAGTTCGTGTTTTCCATGTGAAAGCGGTTGAAAAGATTACTTTCTATGTGATGCTGTTTAGTATAAAATGCAGCTTACACCAAGGAGATATTCATATTTGCTTCACTTATGCCGTGTCATTGAGCTTTTGCATGTGTGAAAACGTCGCACGTTTTACACTCACATCAAGGTCAAAATGGCGTATTCATCTTTAGGCGAGCGCTCGTCACCCTTTACCTATTTCGACAACTTGCCAAAAGCGCGAGCTTGTGACAAGTTTCGCTAGCAAATGGCTGTCTAAGCAAATTGCATGTAGTGTTCTCATTTGAACACGATCGTCATCCAAAATGCGAACAAAAGCGGACTACTTCGCGGAGAAATACATGTACACTAGCTCCACCCCTGTAGCTTTTCCTTCATTGCCAAGAAACGTTGTTCGCATGTATGGTACACAACCCCTTCTTAACAGTGTAATCAATTAAGGGGAGGCATGGGTCTTGAAATGGTGAAGAAATTGCAAAAAAAAAAGATGATTTTTGAAAAGGTGCAGTATTACAAAGCTCGAACATATAATAATCTCCCGGCGAAATCTGAAAGCTGAATTCAATCGAGAAATAAAAAAAAGTGTTTTAAATGTCTAGGTAGAGGGGAAATGACCAAAAATTGGCAAAATATGTTAGAAGTTCGCACGCTCCTAACTTCTGAACACGGCGACTGGGCGCCGCCATCTTGGTGTTGTTTTGAAGCTGCTTCCTTTGTGCGGCTTAGCCTACTTTCAAAATGGCGCCAGTGCAGGGAGAGTGATGCCATCACTCCTTTTCCAAAGGTGGCTTGCGCGCACGGGATTAGTCGAAACACGTGCTTGCCCCACGCGCTGGCCTGCTAATTGCCCGCCCCGTTTATTTTGCTTTTCTGTTCCCCCCAATCTCGCGTTGTGATTACACAATCGCTTGACTTGGGCTTTCGGCTGCTCCGCAACATTCTTCAGGTTCGCAACTTCACTACCACGTTTCACCAACTGTGATTATTGAGCTGCTTAAATGTCCGAACGCATTTGTCTGAAGAAAACTACACGCTGCCTATTCGACGATAAACGTCGGTGACCAAGGAATGTTTGACGAAATTGACGAGGCATGTCCCCTTATAGCCTCTAGACAGATTGAACATGCAGCTGCATCCTAGCGCATTCAGCAAAGACGCCTCGAATGCCAGCACGGCGCCGCAGCCCACTACATCGAGCGCGTGCCCTTAGTCGAGCCATGTCTTGAGTGCTGCCGCGGAGCGCATCTGGGATCTTCGGTTGGCGGTCTGTGTACGAAAACACAACTTGGCATGTGTAGTGTGTATATTTCGTCGGCCCCAAACCTTGAGTGTTATTACATAACGCGTCTATACCGTTTTCTTATCGGCTGAAGAAAATAGCCGACGCGCAGCAAGTGCGGCTAACGTGAAAAACCACTTGGCGTCAAGTCGGCAACGGAACGAAAATTTGTACTTATCGGCGTCTACACGGAAAAGGGAAACCCCAGTGGCAGTGGAACAGAATTCTTGATGATGAATTGAGTGGGGTTAATTATATCCTAGGAATTCTTATTTGCTCCGACTGCGGGGACAGTGTCTAAGGACCCACGAAAAGGACTTTAGTGTGAAGCTCGGGACGGCGTGCTCAATGAGTGATTAGCTTCACTGAGGGTGACTGGAGATTCATCAATAACGTCGTTTATATGTCCAACAAAGAGTGCGCAGTCAGGAATGCCGCAAAAAATAAGCTCGTGAATAGGCACAAGGCAACATTGGACATTGAATGCAACCCTGGTCAGCTATGAAGTGTAGATTGAAGCCCGTGTCATTGCAAGAATTTCAATAATGTTATTTTTCTCCTTTTTTATTTTTGTGACTCTGACCTTGGTGCAAATAGTGAAATCACAGACCACATAGGCATGTCATTTTTACGCATGGTGTACACATACAAGCTGAAATACAACTGTGAAGAGATTGGTAGCAGCTTTCTCGCATTATTTTCTAGGACTATGCATGTTAATACAGCAAGTTTTTCATGGTACCTGTGACATTATTGTAACATATATCGCATTATCTCGTTTCGGAAGGGCAAAGTTGCATAATGATAATGATGCTATTTATTCAGTTACATTGCAATTCCACGTAATTTTGTGGAAAACTAAAACTTCAAATGCATTTTTCTCAGTTTCATGTTTTTAGACAAACACGTAGCCTTACGGGACATGTTTACATGTTTTTATTGACTCTAAATAAAAAGTTTGATACCAATGTGTTTGTATATGCAGTTTCAATATTGCAAGCACTGTACCTGAAAACCTTCCGGTCTCCTCATTTACCAGCTCCTAACATCGAAACTAAAAGCACATTTCAGTTTTTTTTCAGGGGTAACGAAATTTTCTCATTGCTTTTCAGATATAAAAAACATGCCTAAAGTTCAAATGAATTTTTTATTTTTATGTAGCTGAAAAAAAGCAACAATGAATTCAATATATACTTTGCCAAATAAGGGAATGAAAGTTTTGAAAGCCAGCGGGTCATTCTCTAAAGCTCTTTTTACCCACTGGGGCTATTAATGCACATTAGTGGGCAATACCGAATGTTATCAAGGACTTGTGTTTGTAAACACTGAAAGGATCTATAGATCTGGCCAATAATGCTAGTAATTTTTTTCTATATCTTGTTCACCCAATTGTAGTTCATGGCAATTATAAACAATATGTGGCAGAAATGTTTCACTCAAGTTTGTATTCATTAATTTCACATTCAAAGTTTGTTGCAAACATTGAAATTAGCATTATTGGCTAGGCCAGCTCTCTGGCAATCTGGATATATACTTTGTTTTTGTGTTTGACATAGTGAAATTGCCAAAAAGCCCCGTAACAAATATGCTTATTGTGTATTATAAAAATTTTATATCTTCTGTTTTAATGCGTTCCTCGGAGCGAGTGGACACGCGTCGTGTCGGCTCCGGTTTCAACGAATGTTTTGCAGCGGAAGTCACCTAGAAGCCCACAAGACTTTGGTACCCGCATATTCAGCTTGTCGTCAGGAATTGCCTGGCACCAAGTTCCAGGTGGGGACTTGAATTTTGACACCTTTTTGACGCATTTTTGTCAACCACGCTGGCGGGAGAGCTACGCCTAACGCCTGCCAAGTCACCAGCAGCACAGCTGCCAGAGACGCTGCTGCCTAGGCCGGCCTAGCTCTGCGGACACCAAGAAACGCCGGTCAGCGCGTTTCACGCGTTCAACTTTCTGAGAAGAAATGGGGGTCGCTGTGGAAGGAGAACCCGTTTCTCGTGAAGAATTCGAAGAAAGTACAGGATGGAGCACCGTAGGATCAAAGAAGTCGATCCGCGGGCAATCACTGGAACCCGGTGGGGATTCTCAACGAGGGAATAACAGCAGGAAACAGCGTGAGCAACGCCTGCGTCAAATAACAAGATTAAGCCAGATGCCTCCACTGCCCCGGGGCGACTACAAGATCATCATCCGACCTAGAGGCGGCCTTCGACCTTCCGATCATGGAGCCGCCCGACTGGCGACTAGCATTTACCATGCCGCAGAAATTCCGAGAAAAGCCGAAGATGAGGACACAACATGTCCAAATTTTCAGCAAAATATCGTTGTAAGCACACCCATCGAGGCGCATGCTGATAGATACCAGAAAATCTCTCGCATTGTGGTCGGCAACAAGACGTACGATACCAGCGCATATGAAGCAGCACCAGACGGTACGTCAAAAGGCGTGATACGTGATATCCCGTTGGAAGATATCGCCCGAGATGTTACGGCTAATGTGATTACGACAAAGAACCCCACAGCCATT